AGAGAGAGAAGAGACAAGAAGTGATACAAAGAGATATATATATATATATATATATATATATATATATATAGGTGATCCGATTTCGGCACTGAAAACAGCAATCCCAGTAAATTACAATCCGCTGTTTCGACCAACCAGGCCATACGAGTCTGTGGTGTCCAATAACGGGTTTGAAGTACCTCCTGAATGCTCGAAGATCCGTTTTTCTTCGACAACAACCTGCCGGGCACAGAAAACAGCAATCCCAGTAAATTACAATCCGCTGTTTCATGTGACCAGGCCATACGAGTCTGTGGTGTCCAATAACGGGTTTGAAGTACCTCCTGAATGCTCGAAGATCCGTTTTTCTTCGACTGTCAACAACCTGCAGAGTGTCTTTGTGACAATCCACAGTGAAAACATACAGAGAAAGTGGTCATATTCTAGCACCTTAGGTGAGTGGCAACCTTGGAACATGGTCTCTAGGACTACCAAGAAATCCAAGGGATTGTAGCTGGGTAGAAAAACAATGACGTGGATATTAGGACTATGAAATGTGCGTAAGAATTCAATACGTCAAGCATAGACACGCCTTCGTCAGTCGGAGGTATTTTAACCCTAAGAAACACTTTTGTCTTTGGAGCAAGTAGTTCACTCCATAATACTCTACGATAGCTGAGTATATTTGCCCTGAAATGTCTCCTCCATCGTCATTCCTCACCTGAGTGATCTGGCAGGGTGGCTTGATCAGAATTACGTTCTTGGCGGAAATCCAGATTTCCCAGGTGAAGCACCGCCGAAATCACTCGGAAAATTGCTGAAAAATGAATGAAGGCAGTCATTACTTGCTGACCGACCATAAGCACGTTCTGGTCAGGAGCGAAACATGAGGTGTAAGATGCAACCCTCCGAGACCTTTGACAAAAAACCTGATAGATTTTGTAAAATAAAAGGAATCCTAATAGCGGCCATAATAACACAGGAGCAATCGGCTAGTTCAGATGCATAACTTTATGGTATCAAGAGTTGCATAAAGTTCACCGCGACCACACTGAATAATTTTGAGGTAAACACATACCCATTTGGTCCTCCTTGGTAATACCCATAATATCCATGGCTTCCGACGTCTCACGATAGGCTTGGTGTTCATCCGAACCAGGGATTTCAAGCATGCCATTTGAAAGGAAGCGGTACGCGCCTGCCTGGTCCAACAAAAGTTTCTCTTTCATTTCGGATGTGGCTGTAGCCAGTAGTTGATAGAAAATGTGGAAGCATCGCTCGTCTGGAGCTTGCCGAATAACACGAGCCTTTTCTAGTAAATCTGTACACAGTCAGGTTAAGAAATCTGGCACAGGGAGGAGGACAAATCAAATTCTTCGAAGCGAATATTTTGGGCCCCTAGGAATTTATTACGGATGACTGTCTTAGTAGTGAATTGTACAATAAGATGCAAATTGAAAAGTGATAGTGCAGATGTGGAGACCTGTTGTCGTCGATGTCGTTGGACATATGCAAGCCACCAGATCCACCTCCATCTGTTAACCACAACCACTCATCGAGAGTTAGTTGAACCCGTGTGCCAGCATGAGATCATACTGACGCAGAATGAGCAGTTTGAGCTCCAGGCCTGAGTTGAATTGCCTCGTGTATTGTGCAACAGTTTACTCTGCACTCTGCTCAGAACGACGTACCTACCTCACCTATAACACTTGTTCACCACTGACAGCAACACCCGGTGACAATACCAAGGTCTTCTGAAACGATGACTTCTCAATCTGTTCCAAACTTTCTCCGATTTTCACACCACCTTTCATTCCTTCATGCCATGTCAAATTCTGTCCACCTATAGGTTTTCGTCACTCTGAATTAGGTAAGGAAAATAGAACCTGTCTCTTCAGATGGTTGTGAAGATCTCTAAGTGACCAAGTTTCACAGCCGTACAATAATGCAGCCCACATAGTAGTCTGATACACGCGTCACCTGAGATCCATCCACATGACTTTTTGATGCCAGAAGTGGCGCAAATTGGCCAGAGTAATTCTCGCCTTCGAAATTCGTGCGTTAACCCCGTCTGTCGCACTACTGTAGGAGCTAATGCACTTCCGCGATACATACAGTGTTCCACAACTTCCAATGTCACTGCTTGAATTCTTAGAGACCCGTTCAAAGATTTCACTTCCCGCAGCATAAATTTGCACTTTGTGGGCGCGAAGCACATGCCGAAGCACTGGATAACCTTGGTCAGCTTTTCGGGTAATGCCTTGGGTTTCCGGCCTTCTTTGAAAATGAGATAAATGTCTGTATATCCCAAGTCGACAAGTTTTTCAATCGGAGAAATCTGAACACCAGGGTTTAAGAGACTTTCCATTGTTCGCCTCATTACCTAATCGATGATGGAATTGAACGAAAATGGAGAGAGTGGATATCCGTGTCGAAAACCGCTACCCGTACGGAAGCTTTTAGAGAGCTTCTCATATACTCACGCGCCCACAAGCGGGTGAGTGCAAACAACACATAATATTTACGAACTTTTGGGGCAAGCCCTGTTGCGCAAGCGTGTTGAAAAGAATTGACCAGTTGACAGAACCGAACGAACTGCTGAAGTCACGGAACAATAATATTGTAGGGCACCCATACGCACGTCGTTCTAACAATCGACGGAGCGTGAAGATGTGATCCATACGGCCAAATCCCGACCGGCATCCTGTTTGCCGTTTCCGGGTCCCATCTTCACGCGCTTTCGTAAGGCGATGTAGAACAAGCGATGCAACCATGAAATGTACACCTACAAGACTTGCCCACACAGAGCCCCAACTAGCAAACAAAAGCTAAACAGTGAAGATAGCAAAGGATACATGTTTCTATGTTGGCACCGGCGATGAAACCTGAAGTATCGAAGTTAATTCGGATGAACTTTCCCTGTAGACAGAAAAAAAGCAGATTAATGCACTCAGTAGCTTACCATCAGAAGAAAAACATTTGTGAAGAAAACGAGCGTTACCTAGTTTCCTATACTTCTGATGGTCAAAACAGAACGATACAACGTTAATACTGATCGGCAGATTAACGGCGTAACGACGTGGATAATGCCGAACTATTGACAACAAATATGACCGCATGCTTGTACTGCAGCCGTTCGTGGTGTTCTATAGTAGCTAGAGCTCGAGATAGCTCTGTGGCTAGGACGCGAACTTAGTAATCGAAAGGTTCATTGTTCGAAACCAACCTCGGCATCCCCACTGGTCCTGTTTCGCTTCGGGCAGCCTGGCACTATCCTGGCCTTCGTGCCTCCTCGGGTGGGATAGCAACTAGGCACCGAAGGGATATTACAGCTGAACGATTACTATTTTATCTTTACTACTCAACCTAGCGAACAAGACATCCCGTGGTGGTGAAACAGAATGGCACCAAATAAAAACACGCAAACAATAAGGCGAACACTCCAATTTTATAAGTTTTTCACTAGTCGGGAACAATTTTCTGACCCTGCTGTAGAGTGATTCCGAGGTAATTCACGTTACAGCTTTTTCAAATATCCGTTAACCGCGGATTCCGTTATAAAAGATAACGTCTCCTACGGCAGGAATCTTTTAGTTGATTAGCGAAGCACCCAGTGAAAAAGTAAACTTGTAGCTGAACATAAAACTTACGAAGCGCGAAGAGTTATCGTTTTTGATGGTCTTTGCGTTTCCAAAAGCTTCAAGGATGGGATTGGCTTTCAGCAGCTGGGCTTCAAGTTCACCCTGTAAAGGAGACAAAAAAATAGAGGAGTGAAGCAAGAATATGCCTAAAGAACAAGCTAAGACGGAAAACACAACTAGCTGATAAATGCACAGAAATTCCGTAACATGCACAGGCTCACAGTTACGTTGACAGCAGCTTCCACGTGGAAAGAAAACCTCATCCGCAAAGAATTCGCATGGGAACGCCATGCTAACCTCTCAAAATCACCAGAGGCCCATTTAAAAATATTAATAAACGCGTATCTACACCCAACCAGGTAACACAGATAAACCTAACCTCAGACTGGAACATGCAACAACGGGTGCTACAGACAGCAAACTTGCCATCGTTGTGTGAGGAGGTACAACGGAGAGAGGCTACAACAACACGAGTGAATTTTGCGTGAACAAAAGCATGATTATCCGTTGGAAAAAAGGTTGAAAAGCACGCCACGGTGCGACTCAGAGTGAGCAAAAAAACGAGAGACGAAACTTACAACATTAATATCCTGAGACTAAAAGAAAAGAGAATAGTATGGCGTCTGGTAAGAGGCTGCGGTGTCCAGTAAAAAACCATAATTGACCATTGATAAGCAACTGAAAAAATCAAACGCAATTTGACTAAGTAGTAATCCATAAGAGATTGAATAGTATATTACGAAAGAAACGTCAAGGAATGATAAGACGGAAAAGTTTTCATCGCCATCTAATTCAAATGATCTCACGAGGTCCTAATTAATCACAAGATCTCACATCAGCGTCATGCAGAGTTTACAGCTAAAATTGCTGAAAACATACGATTGGGTTGGTGTGGCAGACATGTTAAATAATAATGAAAGATGGCTTTTTAGGTAACAAGGCGATTGTTAGAATCGTCTTGGGATAATCTGGAATCAAATAAAAAACATACAGGATATTGGTGAAGCCAGTTCACCCTGTTTCAACAGCTAGCAACCTCGGAGATATGAACACAAAAATGTCACGACTACTTCGCAATACGGTGGATTCGGAATCCCCACCTAGCAAGCCTATCAAACAGTACGGAATACCAAACGACCGTTTGGTATTATTATCGCTTTCTGCCCTTCTGCCTACTTAGCTGAGTACGAACACCATACCTGAAGATACTGGAGCTTGGCCCGTGGTGGCCGTCCGGGGCTCGTCAAACATGTGTACACTACACTTTGCACTTGACGGATTTCACCCAAGATATCGAGGATTTCACAATAAATCTTTTCGATTAAAGCCACGTCTCCTTAAGAGTACGTGATTACTGGGCCCCAAAATCCACCAACGATGTTTTGATGATGACGATGATAATCAAGATTTGTTTCAGACTAATCATCTCCAGACGAAGCTCTCATCGAATAGGATGTATTGGACACCCTTCAGTATGGCCCGGAGTGGTGCCCTAAGGAACAAGTAAAGTCGTCTTGTGCACCATAGTGAAATACTCCCAAGGGGCCTGCCACCATATAATCTCTGATACAACAGATATTCAACTGCGTCAACTTTTGAGACGGTTGATGTGGGGATGACGTTCGATTAACGAGTCCAAGCGATCCTGGCCGACTGGATGACAAGTAACAGCAAATTTTGTGCAGTTAGATTAGGACCGTCTTACAAAGTGAATCATCACAGACACTAAACACAACTTGTTCGTCGTGTCAGCTTATGTACCAACCGAGTGCAGCCCTGAGTCAACATTCACTCGGAGGTAAACTAGTCCGCAAAGCTCTGTGATGTTCCATCTGGGGATTTCAACGGAGGAGTCGGCAGACCCGGTTCAAACGAAGCTTAACTCGAGGGTTCGTATGGTCTGGACCCACACGGAAATGATAAGGGCGAACGGCAAGTGGCTGTGTGCCCCGGTTTCGATTTAACCATTCTGAGCTTGTGTCGAATGGGCGTCCATCAACAATAGACTAATGTCGGAAATAAGTGGATAGACTGCAGCTGGCTGTCGTTGGAGCATCTGAGAAGGGCCGTCAATCTTACGGGAGCATCTACATAGACTCCGATCATGTCAATTGCTACGGACGGAGCCTGGACCCTGAATGAGCGCGATGAGAACCGGTATCGCATAGGATGAATAGTGCTTTGCTTGATTTCCATGTTACTGAGCGGGTACATGCAGGAGTGTGGACAATTCGGGGAAAGGTGGCTTAGCCCTAAGAGCGCGAATTTACTGACCGGATAGTCCGTGGTTCGAACCGGGCATCTGCCTCTCGACTTCCATCTAGGCTTGGGCAACCTAGCAGTATTCCAGCCCTCGTGCTTCCTTCTGGTGGCACGACAGTTAGGGACCGAAAGGGTGCTACAGCTAAACGTAGACAGTTCGTCAGATACGAATGAGGAGCCACGATCCAAATGTACGAATTCAGTCATATCAAATAAAAAGAACAATTCACATAGATACTTAATAACGATATATGCACATGTCTGAATAGGGAAAAGACAACGGAAAAGGGGAAAACTCGTCAATGATAGTAAGGAGATATCAGTTCCAAGTAACGGAAGGCGAGAGTCCTTTAAAATCGATGCTAATTCGTTCAAATGGTTGAGTTGCCTTGATTGGTGTAGCGATTTGACGGCGGTACAGACCGTACATTTCGGGTTTTTGGAAAGAACAAAGTGATGCACGTAAGTTACTCCTAGATGGCACAAGGAATAATGAAATTCGTTTGATTTATCACTGCCGATCATGTTAGCGCATAAGTTATTTGAAAAGGTGTCAGCCACCAGATTGTCTTTCCATGTCAGTGGCCGACATCGTAGCTAAAAGCGGGGAGTTCCATTTTCCATCGCTGGAATTTACCGTTTTTTAATCTTAATTTTCTGCGACAAACCTAACATAAAGGGAACTGACTGCTGGTCAGTGATAAGCTTGAAGTGTTTCCGGAACATATAATGTTCCCATTTAAGGACAGTCTCAACGATGGTGTGTATAATAGCAGTGGGTCTTTTCGCTCGGTGTCAGTCTTCTAGAAAAGAAGGCTACCGGTCGGCCATTCTGAGTCAGGGATGCAGCAATGGCTATGTCTGAGGCGCCCGTCCCGACAACCAAGAGTGCAGTGTAGTCGACTGCCACGCTCCAATAGGGGCGAAGTATAATTTCTGACAAACTGATTTTGACAGATAAGCATGGTATCCATAGTGAGTTGAGATTCAGCGTCATGTGGTTGAGGGAGTTGATGGATACGGTGCATTCGTTCAGGATCTGGTTTGATAACTCCTTCAGAGACTTCGTGCCCGACAGGGGGCGAGATAGCCCAGTGGTTAGAGCGTGAATTTACTGACCGGAAGGTCTGTGGTTCGAACCCAATCTCCGCCTGTCGACCTCCCCTGTCTAGGCTTGGGCAACCTGGCAGTGTTCCAGCCCTCCTGCTTCCGTCTGGTGGCATGGCAGCTAGGCACCGAAAGGGTGTCACAGCTGAACCATTTTTTCAAAGCCGAGAAGGCGTTTTTGTTTGGGTGCTGTGATGCTTTTCTTGCGATTAAGGGTAATTCCACATTTGTTTATTACTTCGCAGCAAGATTTGAGGTTGTGATAGCGCTCGCTGTGAAGTCCCACAAATAGTAGCGTTGTCAATCTAAGCGTAGGTTTTCAGATCTGATTAGATGGTCAGTAGTATGTTGGAAGCATGCCGCTACATTGGTGACAACGAAAGACATGCGACGGAACTGAAACAGTTCTCTGCATGCTTCAAAAACCGCGTACGGCTTCTTTCGCACAGATTGGAACACAATAGGTCTGAGATGCTCAACACAGCGGTAGATTTCTTCAACCACTTTATCTAACCGCGGTAACGGATAAGCGTCTAGATGTGTGAATCGGTTAATGGTTTGCCTGCAGTTCATTACCATGCGTCTTTTGTGGTCTGAATTTTTCGCGACCGGTACTTGAGCTTTCCAGGGAAAGCGCGAAGATTCGATTATACCTTCATCTAATAGTCGGCTAACTTAGGAGCAAATGAACTGTGTGCGAAGATGTGGTCATCAAAAAAGTCGAGGTAAGCGGCTTGGAGTTGAAAAGCTCCAAAGCCAACCCAAGTTGAAAACCTTCCAACACGAACTAGATGTTCACGTTATGTCAGCAACAGCCTCTCCCCTCAGATAATCAATGCACGGCGCCACCACCTATGGTTGCGCGGTGTCAAGTCGACAAAATTAGCCACACGAACATCAGTCAGTTCGGCTCGGTTACTAGATTCCCGACGCAAAAAACGAATTTTCAGGGAGTTTAAGGCCCACTGTCCAGCAGCTTGTTGATTCACAGAGCGAAATGGTGACAACTTCGAATGGAGGTGGAATTCGCGTGGGCATCGAAGGATATTCATAAACTCTTTTGCCCAGTCACGTTGGTCGGGTTAAGAGCTACGTAAGACAAGCGGGCGATCTATCACCAGTACTAACCGAAGCGTCAACAGATGAGCAAAACAACTCAAAGACCGGTTACAAAGGTGGTCGGTTCCTGCTCCGGCCACGTAACCTGAGGGATTCACCTCCTGGTCAGTCTCCAGTGATCCACCGAGTATATACGGGATAAAAAACATGATACTCAATCTGAAGAATAAATCGCTAGTTGGGGAGAAAATGCCAGGAAGGCCAGAGGGAATCTATTGCATCAGCTTATTGACTTGTTTGCCCAAATATTGGTATTCAAGTCAATCCCGACTTTCTCATCAAGATCTGCCACTGTTCTAACCTTACCCTTCATGGAAAGGGACCTTCGCAAACCGCTAGAATATAAGAACCGCGAAATTGATATCAACTCCGGGATTTGTGGCAATCAAAAATTCTTATCCTAAAAGGTTACGTAAGGCGCCTGAAAGCGAAGGCAGTACATATCAAGGGAACAGTTAGGAACAAAAAAGATGAGTATGGATAGAGTTAGTCCACCACAACAAAAAAGCGACACATGTCCACCACTGAAAGCGATTCTGGGAGATTTCCGCCAGTTTCCAATCAAGTACGGTCATTCTCCTTCGGGCAACCATCCTATAGGGGTTTACGATATACGACAAAGAACAGTCGAAATGCGAGGCCATTCACGTCTGCGTACCAAGTAATTCTTTGAAATGTATATCATTCACTAAGATCTGGAATGGCGCATAATGGGAGCCAGTGGGTTGCCGTCCTCAACACAAGACCCAACAGCGCAGTCGATGATCTATCCGTTAATTCGTCGTCAAACGTTCACGAAAAACACGTCGGCGAACCACAGAATTACTCATTCGCTGTATGAGCGAGAGAGGCGCTTCGTAGGCAACGACGGTAGAAAGCATGAGTCATCTGGTATCTCCAGGTCGGAAGCTGTGTTTCCTATCCATAAAGTCAATGAAAACATCTCACAGAGCAGTACGTGTGGTGATGAGTTATAGTTTTCGGTGATTCTTCCTCTGGTCTACGCTGACCTTGCAAGTGTTTTTACCGAAAACGTCCATATAGAAACGTTGAACAATCGATGCGTTATAAACTTCATCGCTAAATGATAGGCTGGATTCACGCCGATGTCAGTGGCGTTTGGGATTCCTGAAGGCTAATCTAGGATTTGTTATCCTATTTATGATTTCAGAAGTTAGATATCTATCTGGTAGAGCGGTCAACCATTTCAAAATCTTCACCGGTAATAGAGAGCGTGGCTGCAGGTTCGAACTAGTCTGGATTTAGCACTTCGTGAGCAATTTATGCCAGTTTACTTCCAGTGTGTGAGTTTTCTACAGGGATTGGATGCTATCCGCTATCAGAACATCATCGGTGTATTCTGATTCTTGAATCATAATACCAGGGGGAAGCTAAGCTCACACATTGCACCAAAACGGAAAACGGGAACTCTTAACGAGCTCCGCTGACAATGTGGAACGGATGGAATAGTTGATCTTGCTCACAGACTCAACCTATCGTTTCACTGTAAAATGCTGTCCCCCCCCAGCACCAGTCGGTACACTTCACAGCACTGCCCGGTAGTAGTGCCTACGAACCTTAGGAGTTCTGGGCCAAACTCGGCTCGAAGTGGGTTGAAGAGATTGAGCGCCGTGTAGTGTATAATATGCAGTTTTTTTTAATCAAAACACAGCGTGGTTGAACAAGTTAATGGATCCCAACAACTTATTTCACTACGTTGTTTTGAATTTAAAAATTCCGTACATGAGAACCTTTTGAATACGGGAACTAGGTGTTTGTCTGTGAAGTGAGGATACGGTTTCCCTCATCAAAAAAGATTAATCGGACGGTCTGCGCCGTTAAAGGCATCTGCAGTGGTAACAACAGTCGGCCCCGGGCTGGAAATAAATCCTCTATTTATGCGGTACGGCGAGTAGAATCCTGAAAAGGTGCCCAACCCTAAGGAGGAGTAATACGGACATCACTCGAAGCCTTAGACTCAGTGGCCCAGCAATCGATACGACCAGTGCAGACTTCCACTGGACCACGCGAGTGCTTCCCGGGGGTGCGGTTCTCCAACTTCAACATTCACAAATATTCCGTCATTAGCCACACAACTAAATTACGACAAAACACATCCTTTGCATATTCGACGCTATACTCTGTCGAAGACCCTTTTCCAAAGCTTTCCGAATTTATCCCATCAAGCCCTGTTGGCTTTCGTTGAGTTCGATACCCAAAATGCAGAGATGACGCTTACTGGATCCTCTCCGGCCGATGGTAGTTGGTAAGTATGATCATTTTTGAATGGTCTGGCGGTACAGCAAAAGTCAAGTCGGTGAGGTCATCATCACCACCAGAGGCCGCAACAAGGTTGACACGGATGATTCGCTGCCATATAAAGAAATCGTCTGATTGTATTTAAAACCCAAGTTGAAAAAAGATAAAAGGCTTGATGAGGGCAAGATCTGGTGCCAGCCTATTGCAAGCATTCTGAGGTGCCTATATCTACAAGTGCCCAGTCAGACAATCTGGAAATGGAGAGCACGAACCCCAGTGACATCGATTAGCCGTCAGTTTAACAGAAGGCGAGAGCGTAACAATAGATAGATGCGGAGCTATTTAACAGAGCATGGGGGGGCAAAAATACAGTGAATCCAGTGGACCTGTTAGGGCAATATTTTCGTTTACTTGAGTAAGCGGCGGAGGTAGACAGGATAGCTGACAGTTAAGGGTTTGACCTCAACGCAAGTATGAGGCGAAACAAGACCACAGTAGAACGAATTTGTTCGTTAAGCGTACACAATAATATGGGGAACTACAACGTGCACCCATGAAATCACTGCAATCCAGTTTGTCCCCTACAAGCCACGCACCGGGAGTTCCAGATCCCACTGACTCAGTGGGATGTACTCATGGTAGTGAAGGAAATTGTATAACTAGTTGATTGGTGTTGAACTATTCTACTTGCCTCATGAACCGTGGAACTGCGTAGCCACGAACTGCAGGCGATAGCCTTGATGCAGGAACGCCATCGGTTGCACGACAAGGCTAAGTCTGACAGTGTCACTAGTCACCGATGTGTTGAGAACCGGGGTCCCCATCTAGAGAAACAGCAGCTGTCGAATCGAATCAGTTTACTGGTTGGTTTTCATATATTGTTGCCAGGTCGTAAGCTGTCCGTCTCTCGGTCGTTTCCACTTGGTATAGGGATGAGGAAAAATAGCTCTGCAAAGTAGACGGTCCTAGTTTCCTACAGTGATACCGCGCAGCTCAGGATCGCTAATACAACGCTTCCGCCAGACCCGACCAATGCTCCGGAAACGCTGATTGTCGAAAAAAAAATTTACGCTTACAGGTCACCTTTGATTCACAAACCAATATGCATCTTACTATCGCGGTGTATATTGTGCTCTTGGCAGAGACGATACTCCGGTGCCATTGGTGTCCGAGGTTTGCAAAAGCTTTGCTAGCGATTCCGATTCGAAAAGTGATCTTACCTCTGACCAGTCGACCGAAACTTGCAGAAATGCCCAGTTGACTGGCTGGTCTGCTATTAAAGTTCAGTTTGATCCCACCCAATCTCAAAGCAGCACTACGTACTCCGCAGATATGAACCCAAAACCGAATCAAGCAGCAGAATTGCTTAAGTTGTGTAAAGTGGAAAGCGTCAATACAAACAGTAATTCATGAGCTTTTTTCCAGGACCTATTGGGCCTGTATTGAAAACGCATTAATCAGCCGTGACCTACTTCCGACACGCATCTGCCATGTGCACAATGAAAATAAAGGCACGGTCGTAGCGCCCTTTCGTACAACCATAGAATCGAGGGCTGAGGTACCCAAGCGTACATTCGTGGAATAGGAAATTCAGGGTGAAATTGCAGCAACGGACTTCCCAGTCAGTAGTTTCGAGGTAAAAAAAAGATAATCGCACAGGTGTAACGCCCTTTCAGTGCCTAGCTGCCATGCCACCAGGAAGCACGAGGGCTGGGATACTGCTAGGTTGCTTAACCCTGTCTAGGCTTGGGCAACCTGACAGTATCCCAGCCCTCGTGCTTCCTTCGGGTGGCATGGCAGCTAGGCACCGAAAGGGCGCTGCAGCTGAACGATTATTTTTTTATTTTATTAGGTTGCTTAAGTCTAGACAGGACAAATAGCTGTGCATATGTCGGGCTCGAACCCACCGGTGAATAAATTCGCATTCTAACCACTGAGCCACCCAGAGGTACCCCGATTTGTCATGTAATCCATAAAAGCATGATGACTCTGATGAGCTTGGCCCATCCAGACTACAGAGTGGGAAGCAGATAGCCAGGATGAGGCGGTGACAGACAGTTCCCGCCAAGAGCGTATCAAGCAGAATCGCTTATTGTCATAGTAAACGATGTGCGACTAGCTTTCGTCGGGACCTCAATAATCAGTCGCACAATGAGAGCATTTTGGTACCAACACCATAAGCTCCTATGTGAAATTCAGTGTCACCAAAACTGACCAAACCGTCAGTGCAGCTTCACCCCAACATCAACGGTCGGACCATCATTTGAAATGTATGGTAACTGGGCTCATAGTTTTGGCTTCACCGGGACAAGCTAATTTTTCATGTTAAATACTGCCAATGTTGGTCTTATATGATTCCGCGGCTCACTGTCCTGGAATGGACGGTTCTATTCACAAATGGTGGACCTTAGAAAGCAAGGGGTAAATAGGAGTGAAAACAACTCATCTACGGTAGTGTTTGTAAATACGTATGACCAGGAACGAGCGCCCGATTCAAGTGAGATATAGTTAACAAACTTACATGCAACTTGGACATCACGTTTGCAGTCGTCGTTTTCTGGGTTTTAGCAGAGGTAGCCACAGAAGCCAAATACTGAATAACTTTCTTCGTGTTTTCTGTTTTTCCGGCACCAGACTCACCACTAACAACAGCGTGAAAAGAAACGATGAAACATACGTGCACAATATGGACTGGTCCTCGCGATCTGTAAATCAATTGCGTGAACAACATCATAAAGACGCTACCTTGTAACATGTTCCTGTACGCCGCATCGGCTATGGCATAAATATGTGGGGGTCGCTCATGCCGTCTTTTGCCTTTATACCACTCAATTATCTCGTCGTTGTAAATCGGAAGGCGTTTGTATGGGTTGATCACCACACAAAACAGTCCGGAATAGGTCTAAGAGGATCTCACTATGGGTAAGCTGCTTACATAAATCATCCCAGAGTAGTATCGTGACTTAAGGTTGTGTAACACCGACGCCTCATTCAGGAATGTGAGGTTAGCCATATCCTCGGCCTTCTCAAACTTTGGAGGGTTCATCCGTTGAACAAGATCATGATGAAATGAACATTTCTTCCCACTGTCAACAATTTGAACATTGCATTCTTCTCCGACAGTATCCAACAACGTCGCCATGACAAAACCTTGCTGTTCATCAGGCACCCAAACCAATTTCTTGGACGCCCAATCAGACTGAGCAGCTGTGTCTTCCAAAGGCCCCTTTCCCACGCGCAAAAGCTCAACATTTTGCGGATCGTTAGAGTTTTCCTTCTTACTATCCATTGGTTACTGCAATCAACACCGTAACGTGCAAACAGTCTCAGGAATTTCCGTCAAGTTACAAGGGTCAGGAAAATTGATCGCAGCGCCAGCGCGCAAAAATATATAAATCAGAATGGAATTCAAATAAAGAGCAGACACCAATTAAGTTCCAGGTCAATTAGCACTATGGCTGGATATGCTCAGAAAGCTCAGTATTACTCTGCAGACATGAAGACCTGTGAACTGGGGTTATTTGTTCAATTCACTTGAACCAACGAAGGATTTTTCAGGGGGTTGTGATTGAGGAACTGTCTCATTCCAGTTTACAAGTCAACCATAGCTGAATCTGGACGAGAGAGGACGGGAGCACAAGACTTGAGAAGTTAAATGAAAGTCGAAATTGAGTGAAAGTACGGTAGTGAAGAAGCGATCTGACGTAGACCCCATAGAGTATTTGGAAGTCCATCCGAGTAATACGGGAGAGGTGCGTCGGGTCATCCGTAAAACGACGAAAGCCTTTTGGGCCGATTTCTAATGGTGCAGTGAGAAGGGCAAGTTTGGGAAGACTCAGATACACAAATGTTTTTTTGCGTCTATCCTCATGATGTCTCTGTTCCTTTCTCACCATGTATGACAAAGGCACTCGCTGAAGAAGTTGAAAGCTGCGGGTCAAATCCAAACCCGTTTTGGCTCATCTCTTCTTCTACCAGGCCAGGATAAGTTCTATCCACCTATGAGGCTATCATCTGTCCAAAATTCTGGAAGTAAACTATAGGTGAATGAGCCTGGTCAGGAGAGTTCAGTGGCTTACTGGGTGAAGCGCCTCCCAGAAGTTCAAATGTACTAAATCAGTCTTCTCTTGGACGTTCATTTTTCGTGTTGTTATGCCTTGAAAGCGCAGTAAATTATATAGATGCGAGCATTTCCTGGCTATTGAAAACCGACTCTCTTCCACCGGCTTGATTTGTACGATTTATAAATTTCCTAAAACCCTTTCCACTCTCTTTAGCAAAGGGGATTTAAAGCCGTTTGTTCTTCAGGGGGGCGTGAAGTTTTTGTCGTCGCCCTCGCGAACGGAAGTTCTTGCGGTCATGGGATAGCCCCTTCTCCAAGTACGATGTTGTGTAAGTCAATAAGGGTTTGACAAGCAAGCAATGGCGATTCACCTGGATCAATTACATGCAGGCCCGTTTATTTATCAATGCCTAGGTTTTCCAGCCATTCAAACATTTCAAGGTCTTCAATGGAAATACCAGGCGATTCCGAGCATAAGAAGTTCAGGAAAAGCACATGCGTGCCGTATTCACTGGCGCCAAATTACAGAAAGCTTTTGGAAATCTAATGTCAGTCAGTATGTGGAGGCCGATCCTTCCCGTCTTTTAAGCCTTCGGTGGGTGTATCTCGTACCCATGGCAAACTTTGGAGTTGTTTAAAGGTTTATATTATAAACCTCAACGCACGCTCTCGTCTACGTGACCACTTAACCCTGTAACCAACCCATCCTGCGACTGCGTCGCATACAGCCATTGTAGACACTAATAACCTTAAGGCAGATGCAGCTACCCGTTCCTTGATCGGTTATCATGGTTATACAGCCGCTTCACTGGTTGCCGCAAGTCCATAGCTCTTCATTTCATAGGAATGAACAACCGTGGCAACTACAGTAGACCTGCTTTTGTGATACTTTGTTGCGTTCCGGTGTGAGCGGTCCTAGTGTTCATCGGCTTTTTAGTTCAGGCCTCCGTGCGTGCAACTCCGTTGCAACAATGTTCTTGTAGATGCCGCTATATCCAGAATCCCGTGATTACTTGTAGGCTTAACGTAAACTCAGTGAGGACGTTGCCGCTACCGTTTGGTGCCTGCAGGATAGATAGCTCCAGTTGTAATATGAGAGGGTTGTTGCCCAGAAGTTTAAGATTCACCACTAAATATACCAGCACAGAATATTTTACAGACCCATCTACATCATCAACTCTAACTCCCCCAGAATAGCACGTTTATTTGACTTAAGACTAAGTTAATGAGTTTAGCAGGGAGCTCAGCATCATTGTTGAGAGAATTAATTGATCTGAGTCGTAAGCAAAATTTTTTATACGCTCTGTGTTCGAAGTTTGGAGCTAAGCGACTGCACACATGAGGCGTCAACTTGGATCTTATATGTTGCATACACTGAGTTGCTGTAACGAGAATGGTCACGCTGCCACTTAGCACTTTTCCGAGTTCCGCGGACAATGCAACCTGACGGACATACGTCAAATGTGGAAGCCTCCGTTTGCAGGAACAGGTATAGGCAGGTGTATGAACCACGGTACTCGATGTTTATAAACATAATCTCGAAGCGACCGCCCATAATTCCAGTACCGACTGCTCTCCTTGCAATTCAGTCACCACAAGGCGGTACCTGGTTGTGTCAAATCAACGTAATTCTGAACAAGATAATTTGAAGCTCTTATGCAGGCGTTTTGCCCTCAAGAACAAGGGCATCACATGATAACGAATGTGTCCTCCAACACGACGGGCCAATTTTAGCATTTTTTGCCTTTAGATGTGTGCGCACTTATTGGTAGACAAGGCAATATATGTTAATAAGACAGCCGAGCGAAGATCGAGTAAAGCAAAGTGCGGAAGAAGCGAAGGATGCCTAGGGGTGGCTGCGCAGATTCATGGATCGACACACAAGATCAAGGCCATAGACCGCGCTTCCCGTGTCGTGTTTGTTCATGACATTTGATGATAAGGGTTTCTGTTCGACAACTCACATTGAAAGCCTCGGGAAGTGATTTAACCTAAATCCCCAATCCAGCCGTGATTTGGCCACCAAGATAGTTCTGCGTGATTCTGTCGGACCGCATGGCTATTGTATCAAAAGACGTATCTCTTTGTATTGGCGGCTCACAACAGTAACTTGTTAACTCAAACCTGAATTCAGTGAAACGCTCACATAGCTGCGCCGCTGGCTATTCGCACAATGAGATTGATTTCTCGAAATCTACGGCATTTTCAGACTTGCCACTTCATAGTGTAGAATGTCTATGTATAAGGTACATGCTCCTGTAGTATTGAAAATCCTTTACTATGGCGATTTGTTTAAGTGAACTAAATCTGCAGGTGAATAAACACCGCCGACTTTGAATACCTTAACGGATGAAAAAAATCGCGAATTGTGGAAAAGGTTGACTCACATACAATGAACGTAACTTTCAGGTATTTTTCCACCGGAACAGATTTCCTTAACATTATAGAATCTAAATGGCCTTTGGAGATGCAACATATGCGTAGGCGCATCCGTGCAAACAAATTTTGGCCGATGATTCTTTGTTGCCAGTGGTGCACGCTAATTATTTGCTAA